TTAATTGACAGCCCTGGTTCTCATGAATTTTTCAGTTATCTAATACCAGGGCACAGGTCACACTATTTTATTAAAATGTACAGAGATAGCCCTTACTGACACCTATTACTGTTTTCTGTTAGGCTGTCCCTGCACTAAGATAAACACATAACAGACAGAAGTATGTGGTTATAACTTGTCTATCCCATCTGATTCTCACTGTGTGGAGAATTTTACCCCATTGCCTTCCCTGAAATTCTGAACACAGAAGAAGCAGAGAACACAGGATTTGGCATATTGGCAAGACTGTCAATACACCATCTATTTCAGAAGCTTCTTAATGGCAAGTCATTTTACCACAGAAGAAATCAAGGGAGCCTATACAAAATGGATTCCCAAAATAAGCAGGCAAGAGGAAACCATCTAACATGATATGGAAGGTCCCAGTTCAAAATGTAAAATTGAAATATTAGTCAAATGTTCCCTACCTATAAATATGAGGGTAAATAAAGAACAAGTGAGTAATCATATCATTAGCATTCAACTTGGTAAGAAAATGCCTGCAGACCCCAAACTTAGATTCATCAGCCTCCATCAGCACATTATGTAGAAATAGTAGCGTCAGCCTGACTTACTGTCTGCCATGGCCACTTATAACCATATTTAAAGTAAACTGTTTTTAGTCTGATGACTGTGTTGGCAGACATTCTTATTATTCTGTTCACAACCACATTTTAAAGCTGTCCCTTTCCAGCTCAGCAACATCAAATTTCATGCTCTTCATTCAGGAGCTGAGTCTAATATCTTTATTCAGGCATTCACTCCACACCCTCTATTCCACCCCTACCAAATCCACATTTATTTAACCTATGGCTGGACTGAGCCAGCGGTCTGGGAGGACATCATCAGATTTGTGTCATCTCTGAGCTACAAGACTCCTCTACACAGTGGCACTATTTCTTTGGATCACCATGAGGTGTGGAATCAAGCTTCAGCGGCCAAGTGGAGCCACTGAGTAGGAACTCTCAAGGGAACAGAAGCAACCTGCTTGGCTGCGGATTAGCTTCTGCTACTCAAAGGCATAGGTTGCAGTTCTTCAGCCCCTGCTTCCAATTGTCTAGGATGCAAGGAACCCCATAGCATCCTGCCTGTGTGGTTTATATGGGGATAGGGGAGAGAAAAGCACTGTGTGCTCTCCCACCTGTCACTCTAGAGCAGGGGGAGATAGCATTATGATACTGTATGCTTCTAGGCAAACAGTTTGGTGCCACGTGGAGTAATAATCATTAATAAATCATTGCTAATGAAGAATAGCTAAACTATCTTCAGATAATACTAACTACAGCTATAAACATAACTATTCATATAGTCCAAGGGTCGGCAATGTTTTTGGACAGAGTGCCAAAAAAACCTGCAAACTCGACTTGTAAGATGTTGGTGTGCTGGGGCGGATGGTGGGGGAGCTGCAAGGGGCCCGATCCTTGTTGTGGCAGTGCAGCCCCAGCCCCTTCCCTGCCTTCAGCCCCAAGGAGCATGTGCCAAGCAAAATGCTTTTGCATGCTACACTCTGGCACCCGTGCCAGGGGTTGCCTACCCCGATATAGTCTACCCAACAACAGCAGAATACAGAAAACATAAGCAGTCCAGAAAACAAGGTGCGTCCTCCCCCATCACATAGTCAAGGTCCTTTATTTTGTTTTTCTCTGCCCCAGGACCCATGTATTCTTTCTTCTTCATGATTAGGGTATTGCTGGGGAAATTTGGATTTGAACCTCTGAAAACTGAAAGAATAATGTAGTATAAAGAGCAGAAAACTGTTGTAGAACTCCATTAGATACTGGATCATTTGAAATGAGAAATAGTGAAGCCAATGAAAAAAATCAAGAGGTATCAACCAGTCATGTTTTAAGATAGATAAAGTATATGGAAGTGTACTTTATGAAACAGAACTGATATGACAGACTCAGCAGTGGTGAAATTATGTGATGGGGTACAGAGATAGGAGGCACCAGACACATGGGTAGAACTATGCAATGTAAGCTACAACTTTGACTGCTTTAAAATCAGAGGCTAAATTCTGCTGTCAGGGGCCAGTCATGTTGATTGTAACTGCAGTTGTATTCATATGACCAAGCACAAGATGAACCAAGAAAATATGATTTGGAGCAGTTTCTTGAAATGAACTGGGAAGTCAAGAACATGGGTTTGGGAATCCTGCAAAAAAGGGAAAGGCTTTTTGTATGTTTGTGGGGATGTCTACATGAGATGTTTACTGTGCAGTTGCCTAGTTAACTGCGCAGTAAATGTCTCAGCATCTACATTTATGCCCCTATTAGGATGCACAAAACGAATAAACTCTGCAGTCCTATTTACAAGTCCTACCCAGCTGCAGATTTTTTTTGTGTGCAGAAGCAAAAGTGTAGACGCTGAGCCGGCTGTGAGAGTGCTTCAGTGTGGGCGCTGCTTGCCCACTAGCCCTGTGCTGAAGCACCCTTGTGCCCCAGCCAACCCCTCCACAACACAGTGAGCCCTGTTGGAAGACCCCGGCCTGGGAAACTGACACCCTGCCCCCCTCCACCTCCCCAAACCTCTGCCAGCTAGGGCTGCTGCAATGCAGGCACAGGTATAAACAATGAACCGGGGAGCTTTCCAGGATCAGTAAACTGCAGACCATTAAGCTCTGCACTTTATTGTTGCCTGTTAATGGTATGGGTAGATGCGCTTTGTGAGAGGGAGAAAGCAGAGAACAGTAAGTATTCTACAATGTGGAGCTTACAGACCAGGAAGTGGAGAGGAGTAAAGTGGAATTTGTCAAGAGACAAAAATGAAGTCAAGGAAGAGTACACAAGTGTATAATACTAGATTAAGAGATCTGAATTGTATTGATTTTAATAACATTTTATTTACACTATGGGTGGAAATCCTGATCCTCCATGATATATGATGCAAATGAAGCACCCTGCAGTGAAATTCAGTTGTTTACTTAATCATCCAAAAGGGCCCTGGAGAACAGAAAAAGGAAGGTGGAGAAAAAGAAAAGGACTTGTCCTCTTATTATTGCTCCAGTCTTAGTCGTTGGCAGATGAAACCTGGTCTGTGCTGCAACAAGTAGACCTGACCTGTCCATCGTCTCTCTCTCCTTTCCACCCATGGTGACTAACAGAGAAAAGTGAAGCAAACACAGTGGGTGGAGGGGTGTGGTGCAAAGAAACTACTGTCCAGGAACACCCAAAAGGCAGGTAGCACCAGAGAAAGCCCAGTAGCAGGGACAGAAAGCAACCTCCCTCGTTTCTGACATTAGCCTCAGCGCACCACAAAGAAAACGGGTACTTCTCTGTAATTGTCATTGAGGCTGGGGAAGTAAGAATGAGGGGAATAATATAAATGTATAGTCAGATGTTAGGGCGTTACGCAATGCTGCAGAAAGCATCGTATGTGGAGGCCCACTTACAACAGATTGGTATCACAATGCAGTAGAAATATAGGGTTGCCTAGAAATGTCAACGGGACAGAACCACATTCCCAAAGCGACTTTCTTAGGGTTTTCCTCTGTTGACACAAATCCTTATACATATTATATAGTGTGTGTTTGTGTGTCTACATGTGCATGCATGCATATGTTCACACACACAATGTGAAATATATGTAATACATGTATGATATATATTATGCATTACATGCTATATATATATTGTATAATATTGATATGTTATTAATTATATAGTGTGTATGTGTTTGTATATACAAACACCTATGTGATTTTTCTTGTGGAGGTAGAAATGGCAAGAACAGACGGGATAAATGTATCACACACATGTATATACACATATGGCTGCCATGGTTCCCCTACTTTACCTGAGGCAGGCTGGGGTCTGTGTTGTGTCAGGGTTGATGGTAGCCTTATGTAGAGTTTAGATTATGGCTGTATGGGATGGTTTGGATAGGGGTAATCCTCAGGCAGGAGGTTGGACTAGATTAGATGATCTCTGGAGGTCCCTTCCAGCTTTACTTGTCTATGATTTTATACAGATATATACATCACATAATATATACAATCACATTAAGTTCGCTCACATATTTAATAATCGCAGCTAATGCCAGTCCTATTCATGATTTATATAGACAAAACACTTCTGCCCATCTTTTGAGTTAAAAAAAATAAATTCCATACAAACTTAATATATACATTTTATCCACAAATACATAAAAACAACTTTGTGTGTGTGCACACAAATATGTAAAATATAGATAGGCTGCATAATACAGGGCATGTATAATACATGTTATGCAGAGAAATGTGCTGTGTTTATACTATAGCATAGTAATATGCAATTTATTAAAAGAATAGTGTGTGAGTGTGATTTGATTGTGTGTGTAACTGAATGTCTGTGACTGTGTGTGTGAGTGTCTGACTGTAAACGTGCGTGGCTGTGCCTATGAGAGTGTGTCTGACTGCAAGTGTGTCTGACTATATAAGTGTGTCCATGAGAGTATAACTATGTGACTGCATGTGACTGAGTCTAAGAGAGTGTGTGTGTGTGTGTGTGACTGTAAATGTAGGTATGTGACTACAGGAATGTATTTGGTAGCTGTGTTGGTCTGAGACAAAAAAGAAATGCAGAACTCTAGCACTGTTGGTTCAGAGATGATCCTAACTAAACCTTCTTTCTAAAACCTGACTAACAACTTAGCTGATCTAATAAAAGGGATCATCTCTGAACCACCAGTTCTAGAGTTTTGCATTTCTTGTGTGTATCTAAGAGTGCGTGCGTGTGTGTGTGTGTGTGTGTCCAGGAATGAGTGTGTGCATGCGTGTCTGTGTCTAGTAGCACGTGTGTGTGTGTGTCTAGGAGTGTGTGTGTCCAGAAGTGCATGTGTGCATGTCTAGTAGTGCGTGTGTGTGTGTATGCATGCCTCTGTGTGTGTAGGAGTGTGAGTGAGTGTGACTGTGTCTCGGAGAGCGTGCGTGACTGCACGTGCGGATGTGAGTGAGTGTGCCCGTGTG